ACTCCTGAATATATATGTAAGAAAGTTACCAAGTAGTCAAGCTAATGAGAGAATATTTACCATTTTATTATTTTCAAACATTATCCGAGAGGTTAGTTCACTATTTTGTCAGTGTCTGCCTCCTGATACCCTCTAAAAGATTTTAGCAAGTGTCTTAAGTATAAGTTAAATTCGCATCCAGATATTATTTCAGAAAAGTGCATTTCATCATGCTCTTTCCAAAAAGTCAATAGGAGGGTTCTGGCATCAAATGGCTGTTGAATTCCTTCCAATTCTTTTACAAATTTTCTTGCAGACTGAGCGGGTGTGTGACCTCAATCTCTCCTCTGTCTGTATTTTTCACTTAGCTCTTTAAATTCTGACACAGTAAGTAGTTAACCTACATGAAGACCCCAAATTTTACTCTAAATGGGGACCCGTACGTATGTTTACACATTGGCTGGTGACTAATAGCTTCTGTGTGTAATACGTGGATGATTAAGAGCTCCTGTGATTTTATTTGGCCTGATTCTTAGACCCTCCACGGAGAGTTTATCTCGTCCACATGCAAAAGTCTCTTTAATATCCTAATGCTTTCTGTGTACAGGGGAGGTAGGCTACAGGGAGAGGTCAAATGGAGGGAAAGTATTTCTAAAAAAGTTTATTTGCAATTTCAAAACTAGTAGAACGGTCTCATAAAATGCTATTATTTAGAAGAAAGGCTCTCATATCTATTACAGAAGATTCATTTATGTCGTGACTCTCCACAGTGCGTGCAGATGCCATCATATAAATAAGTATGTTCACATACATATTTGTAACTTTTTCAAAGTGGAAAGCCCTGAATATCACACATGCGCTTCCAGGCTTCTGGTACTTCTCCTGCCCAAGCACAAGCAGCCTAGGATGGTATCCACAGAAGTTCAGATGACATGTGGCTGCATTTTTTTTCTCCTTCAAATATGCCAGGGTCACAGTTTAAGACACTTTGGTATGGTTGCCACATCATGCTATTAATAGAAACTGCACTCTAAGGAATGAAGGCTGTGATTCCACATGTGTGGATACGGGGTGAAACGCATGAACTCAGCAGTCCCTGGGAATACCATGTCCTGGATGGCACCCACGCACTGCCAGGGCACTGGGTGGCAGTCCTCCCGCCACTATGCTGTCCTCGGGGCAGAGTTTCATCAAGGTCCTCTGGTAAGAACCACAGCTTTACACTGCCCTGTCGACTGTCAGGACAGGGCTGCAGTGTTTTAACAAGACCATCTCGACCAGAGTATGTTCTGGGGACCAGATTCTCATTTTAGGTGTTCTAACACTCACACAGTGGAAGCCCACGTCAGTCTCAGTGTGGGGGTCAGATCTGTTCCACCCACAGAGCTCCTGCTTAGAACTGCTCCCTTTGGTTTACCTTCCAATCACTTCCCTTACTCCAGCTTTTGATCGTATTGTACTGAATGGCTTTCCTTTTGCTCCTAAACTATGATTTTCTTTTCCTTTTTTAATCTTAGAAATTAGAGCTGGAAAAGACTGTTGCTTCGTCTCATCTCAGCAGGAGTGTTCCCCATAGACGATTTCCTTGAGCTCTTAAGACTAACTGCAGCATTTCAGTGTGCTGGTTGAAAGCCAGCTTCAACCTACTGCCCCGCCAACACTTCACTGAGCATCTGCCTGCCCTTCCACATATGAACCTTGTGGGAGCACACTGCAGCCAACCCGGTAACCTTGACTCGGGGTGGCAAAGATTCTCATGATTCTCTTTTGAAAGGACCTGCAGCCTTTTAAGCAAGAGGGCAGAGTCTACGTGACTAAAACATACCAACTTCCTCTTTCATAAGTCATCACATGATGAACTACAATTACAATTCCTGCCTTGTCTCTGCGAATTGCAGACGCATTGCCTCACCCGAGAAACCCTGCTCCCGTGTGTGGAGGAGGAGACGGCTCTAACTGCTGCAGCAGCCGCTTTGGAAGGGATCCAACTCCAGTCTGTGCCGGGAGGGAGGGCAGTGGGTGGAAGACGAAAACAAAGCTATGTTTACTTAGCATACATCGATAAAGCTGCTTGGGAGCTCCATGAAAGGCCAGGCAGCATGAAAGCCTTTTGATACAATATAAGGAATTGCTGCTCTGGATCCAGGGCCAGCCTTAACCCCTGGGATCCCGGACCCTTTTATGGCAAGAGAGACCGGAACTAAAGTAGCCTGTCCATTCTCCAGCAGGCATTTCGTTAGGGAAGTTACAACAACTCAGTTTCGACATGAAACTGGTAGTGTGAAATAAAAAGGAAATGCTCTTTGTTTGGAGAACAAAAGCTCTGTTCTACAAAAATCCTCTCCTTAGTACCTCTCAGGGCAGAATTGGTATCTTGGTATTTCTATTCTGGGATGGAGCCGACAGGCTTTCCCTTGAGGGTATTACAGTGCCCGCTGGCAGGTAAATGAATATAATTAGGCCGCAGCTCTAACTCCGAGTTGTTTTCTTTTAATATTTCAACCGCTGCCTGCTGGGGCCATTTCTTGGGGGTGTTTAGCTGGCTCATCCCTGCAGCACAGAGCCTGGGCCTCACCCCCTTTGGGAAGTGGTCTCGAAGGTGAAGTCACGTGCTAGGATGAGTGGCACAGGGTCTCCAAGGAGAGCCATAGGTCCTGAAAAGGTGCTTGACAGCAGGGACCAGGAGGGACCAAATTCACTGGCACTAACTGCCTGGGAGAACAGGATCGGGGTCCTCTTCTCCCGTCTAGGAGAGGGTGAGGCAGGACTGTAAGTGCAGGGCGAGATCAGGGAACAGATGGGGACACCTTTATGGCAGGCGCACCTTCTCTGGAAATCCCCAAGAGAAGACATTCACGGTTCGCCTGTAAAAACATTTAAGTCTGGCATTACAATTTCTGTGCCATTTTTGAACAGGTTTTTTTTTTTTAATGTGCTTTAAGCAGCTCCCTCCACTGTTTCTCTAAGGGTGTTTTTCCTCTTCCTTGTGGTTAATCCTTTGAAGCAACCTGGCATTTTCAATAGCAACAACTAGAGAGAAACGTCAGCAGGATTTTTTTTTTCTTTTCTCCACCTACCAATCCAGTCGTAGGAAAGATAATATAATTAGTACCCTGTTCTTCCCACACTTAACCAGCTCATTCCAGTCTCGGGGAGAGATGTGGGCCTGTTTTCCAACAAAGGAAGCTCCAGAGGCCGCCCTTCCAGAGTCGAAGTGTAAAAGTCCCAACTGAGAGTGACTAAGCCCGCGTCTCTTAGTCAGGAAGACTAACGACCAGCCAAAAGTGATTTGCCATACCACACGCCAGCTCCTCCTCCCGATGAAAGTATGCATGCAACTCAAGTGCTCAGTTCAGTCTGGGCAGAGTGCGTGGCTGCCAACAGTGGCAGAGCGCGGGGACCCGGCCAGCAGCGCGGCCGCACCTCGCCTTCGCGCAAGGCGGGCCTGAGCTCCCACCCGCCGGGGCTGAGCCCAGCCCGGGCCCGCAGTGGGCGCGAGTCCGCCCTTGCCCCGCGACGGCGCCAAGGACGCCCGCGGACGGCCCGGCCCGGCGCCACGGGGGCCCACGAGGCCCGCCGCTCACCCCCA